TTAAAAGGATGGATTCATCAGCTTCCAACCAGTAAACCATAACCATGCAATGTCAAGCAAACAGCTTCCAACAAGTGAATCAATGAACAGCAGAATATTGATGCCACGAATCGTAAAATGTTAACCACAATGGCAGCAACTACAAGATGCGCGTATTCCAATACTAACTCTATCCACCTACAAAAATTGAAGGCGATAGTCATTAATAAATAAAATGCCAAATATGATTCATTTATCAAATGTATGGTAAAACAATTAACCAAGAACTGAAGTGTGCTCATGGCAAGGCAGTCTAGTTCATCCCATTATTTATGGCAGGTCATGGCACTAATATAAAACAGCATAATAAACATAAATCAAGAAGTATCACTCTGTTATCTACCTGTTTGACAGAAATTTTCACATAGTAAACTATTGTGTCCAATTAGTATGTCTAATTATAGAATGTCTCTGAACAACTGAAGTAGTGATGAAAAAATTTCCAGTGGCATTGGTTGTCATTACCGGTGGGGATTCTTGTATAGAGTTGTAGTCGGCACCTTACAAAAGATTTCCACTGAATTATGATGTTAATTTTCATGACAAGAAGATGAAAAGACCAATGAACAACCGACTCAGATTGATAGACTTGCATGATCAAATTAGTTTGCATCACATAAAATAAAAGTTAACAATAATTAACACAGCTCCATCAAACTGAAACAGAGAAACTTCGAGCCTAAAACCAAATTGAGTCTGAGACTATGAAACAATGGTGGGCAAAATTACCTGATCACCGGGATCAAACTGACTGCATGGAACTAATGCCAGACGCTGTATAGGAGATGCTGCATGAGACAAAGAAGAGGAGAACGTGCACAGGGTGAGCTAAACTGTCGGATGGTGATACATTTTAAAAAGACTCCAGTGAATGTCTTCACTGGTGGAGTTGCTATATTAGCGTTGGACGCTGAAACTGCCCAAGAGGAGCTAAAGCCTTTACTGAATTGTAATAACCACCAAATAAATTAGTATTAGTAGGTACTGTTTGCTTAATAAAAAATAATGAAAAACTGAAAATGATGTGGAGGCCAATGTGGTTTGTCGGATAGTAGCCAAAGAAAAAAAAAATGACTTCTTCTTCAACTCTGATCCCACTGTCATCATAGAATGCAAAAGCAATCAGAAGAAGGGTAGCCTTTTCAGCTCTGATCCCACTATCATCACAGGAATGCAAAAGCAATCAGAAAAAGTGAAGCTCAAAAGCAATCAGAACTTGAGCGTTTGAGATTTTTTTTAAGAGTGAAAAGGTTGCAGCATTCAAAGCTTAAACTGAAAGACCTTTTGTTGCTGCCCTCAGGTTTAGACAAGGCTTCAACAATCTCAAACATCAGCACACAATTCTCATTTTTTTAAAGGTCCAACAGATATAAAATACCCCAAACTAAACTAACCAGAAATTGTGAAAATTATGAACATATTTAAAATGCTTGCTAAGGAACACGATCTTACTCAATGGCAGACACCGGTTGTTTAACTATTGAAGCCGGAGGAAAGGTCAGCTTTGTTGAACAAGTTGTCTCAATTGGTATGCTTGAGAAATCCTCGTTCCCGAGCGAGGGGCTTATTTCTAGTTCCTGGAACCACAAAGATTTTAGCATTATACGTGAAGATCCAGCTGGTTAAGCAAACGAAATAAATTAGAGAATTTAAGCATTCAACAAAGGGGACTTTTGTGGGCTTAACCAAGATAAAAAAAAATAGACTAACTATAGAACCATGAATATTGCCCCTGACAGCTCCCGCAAACCCAATATCCGGTCCAATTCACCAGAAATGAATGCTCCATTTGACTGTGTTTAACACACCCAACTCCCCCAAGTTCGTCATATAAAAAATGCTCAGAAGAAGCTCAGCTCAGCCATATGCGTCCATGGAATCCACACCCTGGAGCATTGACGAAGCCCAAAAAATAAGTAACAAGGTAACTGCAAGTATTAACTGAAAGGTCTCAACTTTTCTAAGCCCCACAAAGCTTGAATTCAGAGCTTCATAATTCTGCTGCGCACCACTATGAGAACAAAGAAGCACACAAGCGAGTAACATTTCAATTGTCTGGAACAGCAACACTTCCACCACAAGTTGATCAATTCACCACTTTGTCAGTGACGATGTACCACCAATCCCACCATCACAACAGCCCAATTGCTTCCACCTCAAGTGGATGGATTCAGCACCCAGTTCACCTTCTCGTCAGTCACCACGTACCACCAATCCACCAACACAGCGCGAGCACCGGACTGAATGAAGCAGCGTCGAATTGGACGAGTAGAGTGACAGGAACCCGTACCTCATCGGCTCATCACGCGGCGACGGCGTCTTCACGTCCGGCTCCCGCCCCGTGGCGCTCACTTCGGCCTCCCGATCCAGGGACGTCCTCGGCTACGGCGCCCTGCTACGCCCGCTGAATCCTTCGGCATCTGCGCCCCCACCACAACTGATCTCATGGCCGGAGCTCATTAGATCCGGACGCGGAAGTGAACATCGAGGGCGAGACCCGGTCGACCATGCACGAACGTACCTCGGAGGTTGGCCTTGATGTCGGTGAGCAAGCGGGCGGCGGCGGAGTGGATGTTGGTGAGCACGCAACCCTAGCCCCGCGGTCGGGTGCCGTGGCCGGCCCGCGCCGAGAACCGGCGCCGCCTGGCGCCTTGGTGGCCGCAAGACTCACCGGGATCACAGATTCACAGAGCAGGTGCAGCGGGCGAGGGCGGTCGTGGCTGGCGAAGGTGACAGCACGGGTGCGACGTCTAGAGCGAGGCCGGCGGACGAGGGCGAGGGCGAGGACGACGATCAAGGCCGCGTGAGGCGCGAGGGCGAGGCCAGTGTTGGCCGCGCCGATGGTGGGTGGCGCGCGACCGTCGGGTGCGATGGATCTGCGACGGCGGTGCGAGGACACGGGCTAGTGGCGGCGACGCGGCCTGACGCCACTGGTCGAGACGATCGTACCGCACGGGGGAGGGGAGGAAGGAGCGCATGATCGTACCATGGGGGAAGGAAGGAGCGCGCGTCGGGTGCGTGATTGACGGCGCGGTGTCAAAATTTTGTTTCACACGATGGAACCGAGCACGGTATCGCAAGGGGAGTGGCGGACAGACGCAGCGACGATTGTCGCACGAAACGGTAGTGTTACTTTTTTTTTTAGTTGTAGAAAATATAATATCTATATGTGGTTGCAGAGGCTAAAACGGTTCCATTTTCTAAAAAAATCTTTATTAAATATTACTCAACTGATTTGTTGAAAAATATCGACAGAAGAAACCAGAAATGCCTTGCCTGTCCGTCTCTTCGGTAGACAGACATTGTGGACAACTATAACCCCTTATAGGATTGTAGCAAAGTGGCTTCAAGTAGAAGGGAGCTGGGGGCAGGACATATGATTCAATAAGCTGGAATGACCAAGTTTGGATTTATAAAGGAACAATAAATGGGATACAACAAAAGCTAACATAGCTCAAGCTAAGGTTTTAAGTAAACACAAATTGAACACACATTGCAATATGACGCGAAGGGAAAAGATATTAATATAGAATGATAAAGCATGTAAATTAGCTAGTAATCAAATTATCACAACTGGATAAATATCAGAACTGTGTATTAAGTTAGGGGAATAGATGAATGAGAGAGTCCAAGGATTTTATTTATTAAATGTGGGCCCTAAATTTATCCATAACATTTTTAATACTTGGATCTCTTTTAAAATAACCATGTCTCTTTTAAAAATATAAGCAATTTGGACAAGCATAACTAATATATATACCGATATAAACTGGGCATACTAAAAATAAGCAGCCGCGAAATTCTGCTTTTTTCTACTAAAATGGTGAGGATTCATATGAAAGTTAAACTTTTCCTCACGAAATATTGAATAAGTTTCTGGAAAAAAAGCTACACATGATATTTGAGTGTTTCTCCCTTCCCTAAAACCCAAGCTTTCCTCTCGATTCCTTTTCATCACTGCAAATTTGGCAAGATCCATCCCTACTGTATTGTATCTTACTAGGGTTGGGTTTCTTCATAGGGTAAGGATTTTACTGCTAACAAAGATTTCACTGGTGTAAATGGGAATTTGGGGTTGAAATTTGCCACAATGCCTTGAGGAATTTGGGATAGAAATTTGAAGAACTTGGAGATTTTTTTTTTTGTGAAAAAAGGACTTGGATTTAGGGCCTGTTTAGATCCATTATCACTAAAAATTAGCAGCTAAAATTAGTAATAGTTGATCCAAACGGATCTACTAATTATTAGCTAGAGGGTTACTAACTATTAGTTCCATTAGCTTGTTTGGAGGTGCTAATGGTTCATATACACCTTCAATTCACTACCCAACTATCTATTAGCGGGTGAATCTAAACGATCTCCTACTAAGAATTAGCTAGCTAAAAAATAGTAGCTATTAAGCTATTTTTTAGTGCTAATGGATCAAGGGAGAGCTGGATGTGTATCAAGGCAAAGTATGTTATCTTTTTATGCACTATGGATATGCTAATTTTAAAAAAGAAATTTGAATGATCGAAATATGTTTTTTTATAAATTGGTTTCTATGTGTGCCGTGAATCAATTTGGGGTCCAATTCAATCAAACACGGGATGTCACATGTAAATAGGACAGAGTAGCCATGGATGTGAGAAGAGGACGTCACGACACGTTGAGCCAGAGCGCCGGCCCAATCTATCCTATAGATAGATAGAATCAATTCAAAGCTCCAAGCTTGCAAATGCCATTTTTTTTTCTTTACTCCAGAGAATCAAAGTCAACCTGGATTACGAGGATAAAGAACAACAGCTGATCGCAGGGGCAAGAAAAACAAATGCAAGAGATAGATCCTGGTCAACTCCATAAACAAATCTTATTTGCTCCCCTTCAGCAATGTCAACGCCGGCCTAGCTCGCCTTCTTTGCTCGCCGCCCATTTTTGCCCCGACCGGCGCCACATTCCCCGATGCCAATCCAGATCCGGCGATGGGCAACCGCGTGGCGAGGCTGGTCACGCCCTGCTTCGCGCCGCCCGCCGACGGTCACGCCGCGGACGACGCGCACCACTACACGGAGGCGGCGGGGGCGGCGGATGATGGCACCGGCGTCTGCCACATTCTCAGCTTCGACGGCCGCGACGGGCGCATCCACGGCGTGCTGCTGCCGTCGAACCAGTCCACGTCGGGTGGCTCCGTACACCTGAGCGACCGGCCGTCCTTCTCCGGCTCGTCGTCGTTCGACAGCTCCAACTCCTTCTCGTTCCGGACGCTCCAGCCGCGCCAGTACTCGGGCCCGCTGGATAGCTACGGCGGCGGTAGCATCGCGTCGCCGTCGACGTCGACGTCCGCCACGAACTCGGGCGTGTCGTCAGTGCCACGCCTCCCCGCGCGCACCGACGAGCAGATCCTCGCGGACCTCTACGCCACGCGGCGCCGGCGGCGGCAGTGCCTGCGGCAGCAGTAGGCGTCAAACGGGGCCAGCCCGCTCCTCGGCGGCCTGCGCAGGGCCGCCGCGTCGCTGCTGCGCGCGGGGTCCTGCGTGTCCCCTGGCGGCGGCGGCACCAGCGGGAAGGAGCACGCCGTGGCCGTCGGCAACGGTGAGGGTGCAGTGGGCGCGCGGGAAGGCCGGGGAAGACAGGGTGCACGTGTGTTAGGGTTTAGTCCCACATCGTATAGCGATGGTGGAGGAGCACAATATATAAGGCGGGAGAACTCTCATCTAATAGGCTAGTCTTTTAAGTTGAGTAAGGCCCAAAGGCCTTATATGTTGTTAGCTCCGAGACCTATGGGAGCGTAGGCTCGTAACAAGCGTGTCGGAGGAGCACGGCTGGATGTTCGTGGGCATCTACGACGGTTCAACGGGCCCGACGCCACAGACTACCTCGTCGCGCACCTGTACGCGGCCGTGTGCCGCGAGCTCGACGGCGTACTGCTGCGCGCGGAGGAGGACAGCGACGACGAGGAGGCGGTGCAGTGCAACGGCGGCGGCGGCCGCGGTGCCCGCGCATGCGGCGCTCGGGTGCGCGACCACGACGTGCTGGACGCGCTGGCGCGCGCTGAGGAGCACGGAGGCCGGGTACTTCGCGGAGGCGGAGGCGCGCGAGGCGGAGTGCCCGGAGCTGGCGATGATGGGGTCGTGCGTGCTGGTGGCGCTGGTGAAGGGCGCCGACGTGTACGTGATGAACGTCGGCGACAGCCGCGACGTGCTGGCGCAGCGCGCCGAGCCCGACCTGTCGCGGTCCCTCGTCGGCGTCAAGGAGGAGATCAAGCGGCAGTTCGACGCGTGCGAGATGGGGGACCTCGCCGCGCTGCAGCTCACCATGGACCACAGCACCAGCGTCTACAAGGTGCTTGACATGCACAGCACAGTCGATGGTGATCATCCATTGATTGTTTGCTCGCTCTGAACGCATGCGTTATTGCTTCTAATTAAATAGTAGTTCTTGTTGCTGCATGGGTTAGTTAATCTAATCTGGTCGATAATGCAGGAGGCGAGAAGGATCAGGAACGAGCACCCCGATGATCCTGCCTGCATCGTGAATGGCAGGGTGAAGGGTTCGTTGAAGGTGACGAGAGCATTCGGAGCCGGCTACCTGAAAGAGCCGAGGTGGAACAAGGCTCTGCTGGAGGTGTTCCGGGTGAAGTACGTGGGGACGTCGCCGTACATCAGCTGCCGGCCGTACCTCCGGCACCACCGCGTGGGGCCACGGGACAAGTTCATGATCCTCGCCTCCGACGGCCTCTACGACTACCTGAGCAACGAGGAGGTGGTGGCGCAGGTGGAGGCCTTCACCTCCAGCTACCCCGACGAGGACCCCGCCAAGTACCTCAGCCACGAGATCCTCCTCCGCGCCGCCAACCAAGCCGGTGAGTGACTAGTGAGTGTTCAGGAATAAAGGGGTTTATTTGAAACTAGTAACAGTGAACTGAATGACGAAACTAGTGCAGTATATGTATATCTGATAGAGCTATGTATGTAAATCGCTGCGATGGTGAATATGCAGGAATGGGGTTCCATGAGTTGCTCGAGCTGCAGCAAGGCGACCGGAGGCGGTACCATGACGACGTCTCCATCATCATCATCTCGTTGGAGGGGAAGATTTGGAGCTCATCATAGGTTTCTTAAGAATTATTATTGTCATACTGATCATGGCATTGTAACCGTGGTAGCATGGATTATACTGATTCGCAATGTACACTGTAAAAAACGAACAGACTAATTCTTTGAGCAAAAAGGTAATAAAGGAGCTCTCTTGTTTCATTTGAAATTGAGTTGGCACAGTACACATCTTTAGTTAAAGCTTATGTCATATATATAAAGATCTTTAAAGATGAGCTATAATGATACTGTATGTTATATAATCTTCATTTGCTGATGGGGAACGATGAAGAACAGACAAGACAGTTGGACCAAAAGGCCGGAAGATACGGCCCAAGTAAAAGCGACCCAGCCCAGTATAAAAACTGGGGGCGCCCCGCCAGCAACCGCAGGGGCAGAGCACGAGCACTCCACGGCTGCCTGTCTGCAGCAGCCCAGCCGTCGCGATCAGATCCTGCGCTGCGCTGCGCTGCCCTGCCCCGGCCATGCCGCCGCCGTCGGCCCCGGCCTCGCACCACCTGCGCCTGTGGTGGAGGCGCCGCGGCCGGGCTGGCGCCGTCGGGGCCACCTTCGCCGTCGCGCTCCTCGCGGCCGCGCTGCTCCTCGCGCTCTCCAGCTACGCATCCGTAGTATTCCCGGCGTCCGGTGGCCGCCGCGGCCCCGCTCTCGTCGGGCTCACCCTCGTCCGCCGCGCCAGCGAGAAGGGCGCGCGTGAGTTCCCGGCTGCCCCACACTCCCTCGTTTCAATTTTTCAATTTCAAATTTCGAACGGCCGTTCGTACTCGTACCGTCGTACGTACGGTACCTCGAGTACTTCCCGACCAGGAATCGGCCTCGGGATCTGAATCGGGTTTCTGCTCTGGTTTTCGCAGTGTGCTTGGATGGGAGCGCGCCCGGGTACCATCTGCAGAGAGGGTCTGGGAGTGGCTCGCAGAGCTGGCTAATCCACTTGGAGGTAGGTGACGTTTTCGATCGACATCACGTTTTGATACGAACCCGTGCGCCTTGGGTCGCCAAGCTCGTTTGGACAATGCGTGCGTTGTGAATTTCAATTCCAGGCATCGGACTGCGTAGCAATGTGGTCATTGGTACTATTTTTTTAAGTGAAGGTCTAAGGAAAATGCAGGAGCGCTGGGGCGTTTTCCATTTTACAGCGAAGCATAATGCTGTGCTATACGTTGTGCGACTCTGTTACGACAACAACAACAACATAATCGTCTGTTGTTTGTTCCCTAACTTCTCTATGTTTTTTGCAACCTTTAGGGTGGAGGCTGGTGCCGTAATCTCAAGTCATGTGCCTCACGTCAGAGATCGATGTTGGGCTCATCCCGGTACATGGAAGGCCAGGTTGAGTTTACCGGGATCTTGAGCGATGATAAATCTCAGAATCCTGGTATTGAAGTTTCCATCTCTGATAGTCTGATATCTGTTACCTTTCTTGTTTATTACGTTTATGTGTCTAAATTGCAACACTGCACCCATTAGTATGTCTTCACAATTGGGTAGTTGTGCCTGCAGATAGGTTTGGCTGTACAATTTACACTTTTTAGAAGCATACCATCTAATTTCTAACCGTCCTTGAATTGCTATTTTGCATATTAAACCAATTAGTTAGATCAATTTCACTACAATGTAGGAATCTGATAATATTCATGAAGCGTAACTAGCTAGCTAGCCGTATGTGCTTTCATATTCTTGTACTAGTGTTTTAAGTACCAGTTAACTATGAATGGGCACAAGATAGGCGCCCCCTGTAGTCCTGTAGTATTTACATGCTTTCAACTGTGTTAATTTCTCGCTGCAAACAGTCAACTCCTGATCAGCAATTAAATGATCATCCTGTTGTATTACTTCACAATAGTATATTAATATGTCCAATTGTTCTGCTGTCAATTTGCAGACTTTTACAATTGGAATAAAGTGAAGATAAGGTATTGCGATGGGGCATCATTCTCTGGGAATGTAAAAGATGAATTGCAGGTCTGATTTGCTTATTTTCCAGCAAATTATGCTTAATACTTGGAAAGTATAACGAGTCTTATTCCGTGAGCTCGTGCAGAATGGCACAAGATTCTTCTTCAGAGGCCAGCGTATCTGGGAAGCAGTTATGAACGAACTTGTAGTTAAGGGGCTCAGAAATGCTAAACAGGTCATTCCTTGCAAGTAGAATCGATTGCCCTTTTCTTAACGAAAAAAATTGTACGTATTACAATAGTACTAGTCTCATTTACTTTGGCATTCAATGGAAGTCATTGTCTATGAGCTATTAGTAAGGACGACTATTTTGGATGTTTTACATTGATGATTTTATTGCTATATAGTATGTTGTATAATTGTATCTGCTTGCAATTTTAGTTCTAGGTGTGATTAGGAATGCATACGTTGATTGCATACTACTTATTTCATCTTTGCCCATATAAAGTAATTATAAACCACTGTACTGATAGTGTGATGCTGATATTTTATTTCCAGCTTTCAGGCTTTCCTAACAGGATGCTCTGCTGGTGGGCTAGCCACTTACATTCACTGTGATTCTTTTCGTGCACTGCTACCAAAGGATTCTAGGGTTAAGTGTCTCGCGGATGGCGGGTTTTTCCTTGACGTGTATGTCTCTCTATTGCATCCTGTGACTGATATTGATACATTTTGCCATTTATTTATTTATGACCTGTGTTGTGTGGTTTATCCTTTCACATGCATGTCTTGTTACTCTACTCTTGATAATCTGAAGTTTCCACAAACTGCTCGTATGGAAATGTCAGGATTACTAATCAGTCTAATTTAGACGTTTAGAGAAGCCTGTGTACCATCATTTGACAGTACCAGAAGTCATTATAAGACCAGAAAATGGGACCATAGTTTGAACTGTTAAGTACTTGTAGCTCACGGCATTCAATGTCAACGAAAACCATTTCAATAGTTAGATGCATTTTGAACTTCAGAAACCTTACCTTAAAGGCATCACCAATCATATATCTTACTTGCTCATTTAACATTTTGAAATGCCAGTCAGTAAGCACCAAATTTCAGGTTTGTTAAATTCCTGTTACCAGTCAGGAATGAGATATTATCTTTGGAAATAAATAAAAAAGTGGGAAATGGGAATTGTACCACTTTTGCCGTGTGCTTGGTTCCTATCTAATTCCTTGGTTTGTTAAGTCAATTACAGAGAAGACATTTCTGGGAGAAGGACAATGCAGTCTTTCTACAGTGATGTTGTGCGCCTTCAGGATCTAAAGGAAAGGTTTCCACATTGTAACTCAAACATGGAGGTGGGCCAGGTTAGTACTTAATTTTGAATAATATATAATAATTAGCCACAACAGTATCATCACTGATTTCCATCGCTGAATGTATGATATTCTAAAACTGTCACTTGCACTGTGTTCCAGTGTTTCTTTCCACGTGAAGTTGTGAAACACATTGTCAGCCCAGTCTTTGTTCTTAATCCAGCATATGATGCTTGGCAGGTACCCTTACCATATCCATAAAATTTCAGACTGTCCTATTTCTGTGCTAAAATATCAATTTCAACATACTCATACTTGAAGATATATGTTTCAGGTACAACATGCATTGGCTCCAGAAGCATCTGACCCTCAACATTCATGGCTGGACTGCAGATTGGATATTAGCAAGTGCAGCTCTGAACAACTTGAAATTCTCCAAGGTTGACTCACCCTGCATATGACATTTTCTTGTTAACTTATCTAGCTTCCTGAGACTTGAATTAATGGTCATGTTTTGCCATGCCCAATGCAAAAATTTACAGGTTTCAGGAAAGAACTGCATGACGCTATAAGTGAAGTTAAGCAGAAAAGGGACTGGGGATTTTATATCAACTCGTGCTTTGTTCACTGCCAGTCGCTAAGCTCGTTGACTTGGCACTCTCCAACTTCCCCCAGAGTCAACAATAAGGTGCTGTAACAATCATATATGAACTTGGTGATAACGATCTTGCCTGCCATTGTAATCTTAGTGTTTTTTTCCTTTTGGTGAACAGAGCATTGCAGAAGCAGTTGGAGACTGGTTCTTTGACAGAAGAGAGGTGAAGGAGATAGATTGCGAATACCCCTGCAACCCGACGTGCCACAACTTGGTCTTCGAAAAGCCTTTCAAGATATGAAGTTTTGGCCTCTTCTTTTGCCATGGTTTTGTTGTAAAATTAGAAAAAAAATAAACTTGTCATTACCCTTTTTCTTGAACTTATTTTTGTGAGTGGTACCCCGCCATATACTTGACGTATACAAAGTATAGTTGTAAAGAATATATCTGAACTATCCAATGGTTTTGTCGAACAATGCGCACCTGGAACAGCGGAATTTTGCCACCTCCAATCCTGATGCAGGCGTGCTCAGCTTGGACGTGACATTCTCAGCTCTGGCCTCTGGAGCACCTGTAGGTACGCATGCTCGTGCCAGGACATGTTTCTCTCCTTATCAGACCCATAACTTTCTTTTCCTTTTCCTTAGGCCATGCCCAACGCTCCACCCTGGAGTGCTGCCCCAACTTCCAGCTATGCACCTAGTGTCCAAATCATCACAAATGTTAGCCTCGCAGGGTGTCGGAAGCGGTGGCTTGCCCTGACAAAAAGTTGAAGCAGCAACATGTCTTGCGTTGTGGCATGGAAGAGCACATAATATGCTGACAAGTTCTGCTTGCGTTGAGACTTGAGAGGGTATTGGCCCTTGCTCATTTCAGTGTACGTGGAGCACAACTTTATGTTGAGGCTAGCACTAGGTGCTGCCCTTACGAGTGCTCTCACCATCTGCGTGAGAAGCTCCAACTAAAGGAATTTTGCAATGTCTAGACTGACGCTTTATAGACTAAATAAAGTGCCTGTATTTTATTTTCAATGCCTGGATTGGGATTAAGATGAGAAGCTCCAACCGGAGAAGATTTTGCATCGAGCGAGTGGAGTCGAGCAGAAAAGCGAAGTGTTCACCGTCGAGTGTGTGTGCTGGGCCATTAGCGCATCAATGGGCACTATAGAAAGGCAAATTCTGCTGCTCTTTTTC